ACGCTCTTGCGAGGAAGAACGAGTTGATACTGGTGAGGCATAGTAGTCCTCACCATATAGTTCATTATCACTGCCAAACAGACTGTGTTGCATTTCACGAGTCTGTTCGTTCGACAGTGCTCTTGACGCACGATGAGGCACCGCCGGTGATCGGGATGCCTCTGTAACGTTGCGCGAGTCAGGGACGTCAGACTCGCCAGAATTGATGACCTCATTCACAAGGTCATCATGTGCACGTGGTGCGATACCGCGTGCGCCTGCAGCACCTTCTGCTGCAAGCTGAGAACGAGCAGCAGACGAAGAAGCGTCTGCCGTCAGAGGCTGGCACAGCAGCAGGCTGTGTGGTCTTCGAATCACCTCGCATAGACATGTTAACTATGCGAGGCAAGGTCAGGAGCGAATGGGTCTGACCAAACAAGTGGTCCCTGTCCCACCGGTGTCCAACGGGTGGCCACCAAGTTATCGATAGTCACACGGTGACTATCAGATAAGGGAGGGGTGATGTAACGGGGTAGTCTGTTACACGGAAATTGTCATTAAAGACAATCTGACAATAAAGAATATTACGTCGAATATTCTTTTAACAATATCACAGACATGGTGATATTGTTGGGATGACCGAAGGGTCTACTCATTGGTTGATATCGTGATGATATCAACCCACCAATCGCTGCTAGACGCGCGCAATGGGTGGTGAGCAGACGTCATCATACATATAGTTATATTAGTATAATTAAGTCAGGACAACGGAGATTCAAGGAGTTATAGGACTCAATTATATTAATACAGTTTTACTTTTACCGAGAGACTAGTCTGACTACTTAGTTCCTTCCTCTGTGTTTCCTTAAAACACCTAGCAGGGCACTGTCGACCACTGTTGTCAGTGAAAGTGAGCTCCGTACTGGTCATCCAGTTTGTGGTCAACAGTGCCCCGTTACACTCAGATCAACGCCTGTGCTGCTTGATTTCAGATTCTCGACATCAAGCGTTAACGCGCGGCGCGGTCTTACGTCTAGTAACGCAATAACTAGTGAATAGCAAGTTAAAAATTGTGATAGCCGAAGGCCTTGCGCCAATCGCAGCTATCGGAAAAGTTTTGGCTGTGCAGTTGCGATCGTCAAACATCACATGCAGTCTGCTGCTGTGTATCCGCTCAGAATTCGAATACAAAAAACGACAGGTAGAGGTTTCTTCGCCCGCAATCCACAGCTAAAGACCAGACGTCGAGTCAATAAACAAGTCTACGCATTCATGTAGCCACGACAACGCATAAAGATGCATTTAATTCGGTCTGCTTTTCGTCATGAACGCAGATACTGTGGTCTGCCCGGTGGTGGTAGCTTTGATGCATGAAGGCAGACATTACCTACTTTCATCATCGTGAGAAATCTTTTCCAAGAGCCAACTCTGTCTTTCTGCCTCAGCACTTGACAAACGATGTGGAGCTGTACGTATACTATTGTATAGCGACGGAAAAGCTAACGTGTTACTGCAATACCGAACCGAGGACTGCTTGTCTGCTTGGCGGTGGCTGCATCTACCAGTACAATGCTTCTCGGACCAGGCGCCTGATACCAACTGGGCCGGAGCACTGTAACCTAGGCTTATATAGGACCACCTTGCGATCTTGCGTCGACCTTCCTGCCTCGAATTGAAAGATCGCCGCAGACTCGCGACAATCTTGGGTTTTGACAAACGCGGCTTTGCTGATCCGCACGTGTCGAGCTGTAGGCTTTGTCTGCATAACGACGCAGTTAATTCTTTTCAACAGATCGTGCAGCTGAATTCTTGCTCAGCATTTCATGATTCGCATGCGATGAAACCAAGAGCGCTTGACGCGTTCGGATCAGAAACTCGCTGAATGGTGTCGTTTTTTACGCTTGCTGGATATCCGCTCTTCTTGAAATCGACGAATCTGATCCAGATAACGAGCTCGACGGCCTCGTGTATGAAGTTGAGTTTGCCATGTCAGTCGGCTCGGGGCAACCAAAGCGAGCCTCCATGGCCTCGCGCCACGACTTGTACTGAATCGATTGCGACCCGTTGTTGATGGCGTCGACAATGAGCTTGCATCGCGGCCCCTTGTCCATTGAAAGGGCCTTAAACTCCGGTGTATAGTCCTTCGTGCCACCTAAACACTGGCTCTCAAACATGCAGGCTTGACGCTCGATGTCGTCCATGTTATCGTATGAGTCGCCCCCCATGGCCTCCAGAGTCTCATCATACCAGTCCGCCATTCGCATCTCCGCGTTAGTGGAGTAATAGGCCTCCCTTGGGGTGCTCGCATTTACCGCGTCACCCGCTTTGTCCACGATTACAACGTCCTTGTGACCGTCATCCTCGCCCTTGTAGTCTGTTTCCGGAAAGTTGTTCTGCGAGGCGTAGTCGTTTCTGTCTCCTTCAGAGCTTCCGTCTCCGGTCGCGCCGCAGAGGGTTGGCGTCGAAGTATCGTTTGTAGCAGCAGTTTCTTCCAGCCTCCGAGCTCGAGGCGAGGCATCGCACTGCGTAAACATAGTTGCGACCTGGCCGCTGATGGCGTATCCGTAGCTGCTAGCGCCTAGATCCCGAACGTCCATCAGACCAGCATATTGGTTCGGAACTCCTGCAAAGAACCTGCCGACTTGTGGATCGCTCGACCCGGGAATGGGATTCCTGCCTCTTTCTCCAGTCCGCATAGTGACTGTGTCGGTTGGGCGGAAGACACCTGAGTCTCGACGAGTGCAAGAAGACCAAGCTACAGAGTGTGACGCTTTCTGATCGAAAGTGAGTCGATCCGGTCCGACGCGGCACTTGTGGAATACGACATGCAACAAGTCGACCATGGCATGATGCGACCAGAAAATAGGGTCCGCAGGGGAAGCAAACGTGTTCATGGTACTGCCCAAGTTGGCGTGCACATTGTTGTGGCATCCCTGTTCGATCAGCGGTGACATTTGGCCGATGTTGGCGCCGTTGAAGACCTGAGCTCGAACTGAAGCATAGCCTGTCGTACTGGGTACGCGAGCAGTTGACCAGTCCCCTCGAGGAACACACCCGGCACACGCAGCACCTGAATGTGAACGTTGCTGGCAAAAGCGATCCAACGGCGGTCGATTGACGCACCGCCCGGAGCTGTTGATACCATTAATGGACAACGTGCGTTGGGTCCCACTTGATGAACCGCCTAACTCCTCCATGATAGCCAAACAATTGCTAAACGAAGTGCACGCACCAGAGGTCACGCGTGCGCTTGCAGCGATCCAATTCATGTAAGGAATCGTCACACACGCGTAAGCAGCGCCTTGGCCACGAAGCATGTTTTCAAATACGACGAGCAGCAAACGGTGCCAGTAGACAAACATACACTGCTGGTGAGCTTCCATCTCGGATCTCATCTCCGTGTGCATCTCGACGAACTTGATGTAGGCGCCGGAGTTCATGGAAGCACGTATTGCATTGCGGTATGTGGTCTTCTCGGCCGCCGTCATCATAGTCCAATCTTTTCGAACGCGGGGACCACAGGACTGAGCCTCGATGCTGGCTAGTCTCGTGAACACTACAAACAGCCCAACGCTCAATATCCACAGGAACTTCATTGTATATGTAAGAGTCAACGTCAAGTATCGGGCAATGTCGGCTACGCTGGGACAAGAAACGAATAATGATGAGGTTTTCGTTCCACGTGCACCGCTAAGAGGAGCTACCCATGTGTAGCAGTCGGCAGTTTTTATGGTCCCTTCGTAGAATGTTAGTTCAATGACCAACAGAGCCGACGTTTTGGTAACGTACGCACGTACACCGAAAGGGTTTTCGAGCGAGCGGTAAATGACCAGTCGTGAACAGAGCTCTATGCTATCATAGATAGTAGCATGTTCCGAACGCAATTGACGGAAGCTGTGATTTCAGAGTGTTGCAAAGCGCTGCTTTAGGACAGACGCAAGTCGCAACGATGATATCCGTCCGGCTAACGACTGAGTGCTAGTGATCACCACAAACCGTCCGTCAACTTTGGAAGTCTTAGCAATCATTTGCCAATGAATCCAAGCAGACGAAAGTGTTCGTTCACAAATAGAGATCGCTTGCATGACTCAGGATGTGGGTGGTATGCCGGTGAGGTTGTCGCGTTTCGCATCAACGTTGAGACCACGAACTGCGGTACGTACCTGACACGACTAACACATTGACACACACGTTGGCACGTTTCGCATACGTACACGTTCACGACCCAAAGAATCAAACGTAGTGCACACATTTAAGCATCATTGCCATCGCCAGACTTTACGCTCGGATCTCAACCTGACAAAACTTGCTTGCAATGAGATGTTGTGGGTCGCTGAGGTAGCAGAACTGTAAACGGGTCAACAAGTGTGAACGAGGTAGCGTTCGTTCTACGAGCTTCAATTTAATGGTGAAAGTAATGCATACTACAACACCGTGAAACATCGACAGGAGCGAGACAGCAAATGGCGTAGGAAAGCTGCGTGCGGACTAGTATCATGCGCATTGCCCATTTACGAACAAGCACGCTACAATCGCCAATCCGACGGCATTTGACGAACCTTGCATCTCGTACGACTTGTACCCATCGGCAGTCACATCAGGCTTTACGATCAAAAGTGATGCACATGCCTGCGTAAGCGCCTTCCGTGTAGCAGAGATTGCAAGGATTTCGTGTACGATGTGAACGTACCGACTAGTGAAGTGTCTTTGAATACCTAGGTACATCAACTCAGATGGATTTCACGTCTGCAAACCTCGTGCGGTCCATATGGCATATGCAGTCATGTATTTCGTGTCACTGCTTGTCGTTTCGAGCTCAACTTACATTCGACTACATTACGCATTCAGTCTTCGTTGCGACCGCTGTATCGTGGAGATGAAATACCGAGGCAGCCATTCCAACCGATGATTCCTGGGTAGAGTATGGCCCGTCATCAAGGCGCAGGTTTTAGCCAGCCCGACTTCGTCCAGTCATCATGTGCCCGCCATTCCTCGAAATGGCGACTTTCGAATGCACCGAATTTGCGCAGTACCATTGAGCAACAGTGCCCCTGTGATTGCTTGAGTTATACCAAGTTTTTACGTCGAGGTCACTAATGAATGAGTCCAAGTTTGCCACGGATCAATATCCTCAAAGGTGTTTGCAAATAGGCGTCAAAAGCGTTAGGCGTGCTAGGGATGGCAATCCGAAGAGCACATGACTGACCACTCGGTATGGCTATCTGGACTGTCGCACATCAAGCAAAAACCAATTCGTAAGCTTCGGGATAATACTCAGACAATGACAGTGTGCTATGCTTTCGTTGCGTTCCACAATGCCTATGACAAGTGGTATCGACGATTTCACTTTCAGAATGAAGGCCCCGACGATAAACAAACTTTCATTGCCTGATTCAGCTAGACAAGCAGTCGATCCGATCGAACCGTGAGTTGATGAAATTATTCGCAAAAAAAATGATGAATACACCTGTAACAAGTTCGACGACGAGACCGCCTGCTTCCTTGGTTAAAAGCTTTTGGAAATGGGTGTATCATCGTCGTCAACATGTAGATCGTCCTGTATAGAACGTGTGATGAAGCGCTTGTAGCCATTCATTGCCATTAGTCATTACCATGACTGTCGACGGCGCATCATAAGCAAAAATATAGTTCGCCACAGTCAGTTGGCTGCTTCGCAATGCTGTGGAAGTGACTTCGCTGTTAGCCTACAAGAACGGATGATAGTTCATGTTCGAGATGTATCAGTTTGAACGAGTTCTTCGTTCACACTGCTGACCTAACTTTGGTCGTCTTGACAAGTTTGCGCGAATGCACGGGCTATGTCGTACAAAACTGGGCGTGGGTCGGATTGCATGTCGCTAATCCAGTGCAATAGCAGTCTGACTCAAGACGTCTACTGCAATAAAGGAGGTCGTGCACGAGCTAAGTGGTGTGAACAATAGCCCAAACAAAACGACAACGGAACAGTCTGGAGCTGAATTTGCATGTTTGGAGGTGTTACATCAGCTAAGTCGACGGATCCAGCTTCAACGGTTTGCAGGGCCTTTGCATTAGTACGGCTCGTAGCTCGTATGACAGAACTTGACCATTCTTTCCGACAGTATGAGCTATAATTCGACAGCGTGTGAATGTTGACCACTAGCGAATGAGAAACATGCTCGTTGGTCTAGAACACACAAGCGCTCGAGCGTCGAGCAGATAATTGCGTGGTCAAGACTGACACTTCTTCTTTGACGTTTGTACACGCACCAACTATTGCGTGAAGTCGATTCCAGTCATTGAGTTCTGATCGTTGACGCAACTGGGGTATTCATCCGGAAGTTCAATATGAAACAACACGCTAACGAGTTCTCACAAACTGCTTCTTGTTGTGTTTATTACGAAAGGCTTCTTCTTGTACATCACTGGCGTGTGCAAGCTAATGAGATGGATTTCTTTCAGATGTGCAGATTCGAAAGCGGTCTCAAACACCAGTGCCCCGGGTTTTGGCATACAAAGGTTTTGCTCTCTCTCTCTTTCATTGGTCTGTTGCAGCCATTGAGTTTCTAGACAACTGCACACATTGCAAGAATGACAACACCAAGAACAATCACAATCGCGATTCATTAATATAATAAAGGTCGAAAGCGAGATCGCAACAGGAGACCAGCACGCAGGCACGACAGCTCTTGTACACTCTGACTGCACCACACGCGACTCTTTCTCTGCCGCTCAATCCATGTGGACAGAAACGTAATCTGTACGAACAGTCGCACCTTCCTCAGCCACTGACGCCTTTTCGGCACCCTCCTCTGCTCCTTGCTCGGGTGTACCACCGTCTTCTGGGTCTCGGAAACCCACACAAGAAATCGCGCAGCATATAAAGCAAAAGATAAGTCCCACCTGCAGCAAACAGCGAGTCAACATTAGCTAGCGACAACCGGAGCATGCATACCAAACTTTACGAACCACAACGAGCCAAGGCAGGAGCACGAAAATGCTGGAAAATGAGCCGTGTTCCAGTCTCGCGGATAGGATGAAGAAGGGTGACGTGAGTGCGCCGATGACGAGAATCGTGCAAAGCGCATCCAGCAGCGGGAACTTCGAAACGGCCTCGTCGTCGTCTTCGCTGATAGACTCGCGAGTGTAATCGTCGTGCGTGTGCTGTCTCCTCGGCGACGCCGACTGGGACTTTGGCACCTTCGTCTTCGTGCGATAATACTTTCGTACGGGGAACGAGACGAAGAATGCAATGTAAAGCCAAACTGGAATGAACACAATCCACCAACTGACGTCACGCGCATCGTGGTCCACTTTGAGTCCCAACAACACAGCTTGGGCGATCCGGGCGAGGTTCAAAATTAGCTTTCTAGCCACGGCAATAACAAAAGCTGTGCGCTGCTTCTTGATGTCCTCCGTGTGAGTTACACCCGCCCCTTCGCTATTCTTCGTCAGCATACCGTAGCCAAGTATTCCACCGGCTACCCCTTCGAGGAAATTAAGACCCTCGTAAGCGAAATACGGAATCAGCGCCTGAATCAAAGTCCATTGGACGTCGCCATTGAGCTTCAAGGCTAAGAAAATCTGCAGCACCAACAGCAGCAGCGCCTTGAGGAACGCGTAGAGCTTGTACAGCGCCGGTTTTTCCTTTGCTTTTTCGTCTGGATTTACGTCCTCGACGCCCGAAGACGCGTACACGCAGCCCAAGCAGCAGTAGTATATGGCGTCAACAATCCATAACGGGATGCAAACCACCGCCCAGTTCCATGAAATCGTCGAGTCTGCTCTCAGACACCAGAAAACTGCAAGTTGCACACGCAAACACACAGAGGGGCTCAGTCCAGAAAACACACAACCAAACAAAGCCACCACTTTACAACACAGTTTGCTTTCGTACTTGGAATGAGCAGGAAAAAGGCAAAGAGCAGTGACACGACGAAAATGAGAGCGCACTTTCCCCCAGCACCGAACGCCCCCATGGACCGGAAGATCAAAATCGACAGTTCTTCCGGACTCATGCTGCCAAAATCTTCCATGAGTTTGATCCCATCTTCGCCCACTCTGTACAAAAAGTCAATGACGAAACAACAAACAAACAACCAATCGATCGATCGACAAACGCACCCCATCAGTCAACATTGGACCGATCACAACTCGGTGCAAACAACGGTATACCGACACCATACCGGTCATAAACCTCGCGCTTCTGCAGGTCCGAGAGCACGTCGTACGCCTGCTTCATGCGCGTAAACTCTTCTTGCGACTCGGGCGTATTGCCCCGTTTGTCCGGATGCAGCTGCAGCGCCTTGCGGCGATAGGCTTTCTTGATCTGCTCGGGCGTGGCGTCTGCCTCGAGGCCCATGAGGTCGTAATAGACCATACTCGCCACCTTCTTCGGGCCCCCGACAGCCATGGCTCCGTTTTAGCGACCTTAAGTTTCTGAAAAGCCTAAATAAAAAAGGGCTCTTGAGTTCCAGCGACTTGGTTAATACGTCCGGAGGGAGATGGGTTACAGGTACGATTTGACTTGTCCCGTTTGTGTTTCGGCTATGTGCGTTTTTCGCAGCCAATCAACGGCGGGCGGGGGAGAGCTGTTTTTAAAGACTATGCTGTCGATGCAATCGGTGGTCAGAAAACAGACGTTTTCTGCGACACGAAAGACGCGCTGGGAATGGACTGGGTGGCTGTGGATCGAAGCATGCTCGCCAGGCTGCTGTACCCGAACCCGGTGTGTCTACTCTCCGTACGTAGCAGTGATGGCAGCGGGCGCAATGTCATGACCATCACGTGGATCACGGCCATCAACAACCGAGGCGGGTTCATTGGTTCGGTCCATGCTGCACGTCATTCAGTCCAATTCGTGAACCACGCGGGTGCGATCTTCGTGCTGAACGTTCCAGTTCGAGGCATGGAGGACCTGGTCTTGGCGGTCGGAAGCTGCTCGGGCGCTGATACAGACAAGTTTGAGGAGTTTGGCATTGCCGTCTGTGCACCTGGTGGTGCAGAGCTTACAGAAGGCGTAAGCGAAGACATCGTCAAGACGAAGAAGCCGAAACTGTCCAAGAAAGAGCTAGCAGAGCAAGAGATCAGTCGTGCTGTTCACCAAGGTATTGCACTTCGCGACTGTGTAGCGCACTTGCTTTGTCGCGTGGAATCTGTGACGGAAGATGACGGGCATCTGCTGCTTCGGTGTGTGCAACTCTCGGGGTGGACTCGACGAGCGTACTGGGATGGACGGAACTTTATCCCGCAAGCGAGTGCCGACGTGGAGCCATACTTGACGTTTCTCGGCAGCAAAACTTTCGGCTATGTACTGCCTGTAAACTCCTCGCCGTCACGAGCAGCATCGACAGGCGAATGAGCTGTCATACTTTACGCAATCGCGTTATCGAGATCGTGGCGTTGATGAGCACTCGAACATCTATCATGTGCCGATATTCACAACACGTATTGATCGATGTCTACTACACGTGTGCCTGAACGGAAGTCGTGTGACTTTTTGCTGCATCTCGGGTCGTCTTTAGATGGTCCGCGTGGCGCCGTCGCGGGTGCAAGGGGCATTGGCCACAAGGGGGAGAACTTGCCATCAGTCGAAGGCGGCTTGACACTGACTTCGCTTCCCACGCTCGAGATTGACGACCGATTGAACAGTGCTACGGCGTCGCTGTGAAAGTCTGATAGTAAGTTGTTTGTATGGATGAGTGCGTACCGAGCGACATTGGTTGTTGCCTTGATAAAGCACTGCGTTCAGCTTTTCTGACACCTAAGTCACAAATACAAGTGCCGGCTACTTTGGCGCGCTTTACATGTACACGGTATGGTCACCCCCTTACCCCGCTCTCTATTTCTCTCTTTCTCTCTCTGCGTCTTTATAAAGAAGACATTCTCTGCAAAAGAGCCAAGGATCGCTGAGCAGCATTCGTAAAATATGCTATACACAAGCGGGTAAGGAGTTCGCCACGGAAATCGGTCGCCCTGTATATACATTATCCATCAAGCGGCTCACGGTCCCCACTTCTGCTACCCGAGCCACATTTACCCAGCTGATGTGACCGATGTTTCTGCAGAAGGTTTCTCAGAATTTGAAGCCAGTTCCACAACCTTGTAACTCGAACGTGACCGTTGCGGATGACACGTAGTCTCTGATGACGAGCGAATACATGACACAGAGTTTGCTGTAGACGTCAGTATGACGAGTACGCAAGACGGAAGCGTTGAGCAAGAAGTGAACACGGCATTGACATTGTATGAATGTCAGCATGAGCATCATTTAAGCGGACAGTATCGAGCAAAAGAACCTTCGCAGGTAAAAGATAAAAGCACGTTTGATGGCACAAATTCTGGTATCAGCTGACAACACGTACCCACCAGCTATTACCGACCATACAATCGGCCAACATCGCCTCCGATCAATGACAAATGGTTGCAATGAGTGGGTGGTGAGTAGGTAATGAACATTCTCATTTGTTGTTCGATCCGCAGGATGCAACAACTTTGCGTTACGACCTGGAAAGATTTATGTCTTGCAAGCAATGTCGGCTCTGTCTTGGTCTACATATGAACGCATCAACAGAATCGCGTCTGTAGGTATGCATTTCCGTTCCATGTACAGCAGAAACTGGGAATCGAAGCTACATAAAACCCTGCATGCCTGACTGCCCTCAAGAAATCCTCGTGGCGCTCGAAATGTCAGTAAATGATAGCTGGCGAAGAAAGTCAACCGAAGAAAAGTGGCACTAGTCTTTCCAATATTGGAGTGAAACACTCGCGTGTTACAAGCTCTCCAAAAAAGTGTGCTCCGTAGCATGGCTGTCGAAAAAGACACTTTCAATTGACATTTTGCATTGCAAGACAGTCCTTAACGTCGCAATTAAAGAAAAAATATTTGACGCAAATCGTTTGACATCAGCGTGTTGCGGATTAGGGGGGCGGGCGGGGACGGGCGTGTTATGTATCCCGTCCTCCGTGTACCCACACCTTTTCGTCCGTCGCTCGTGTGCACCACGTCACACCCCCCTGTCTCGTATTCGCACTTAACCGAGCAAACCCAGTGCCGCACATCCCTCTTCCTGCCCCACGCGATGGCGGCCGCGAACAGGTCGAAGAACGCGTACGAACTCGTGGTGCAGGACGACTTCCTCGTGGTGCTGCACCCGCTCGAGCCGCTGAGTCTGCACATCTCCCGCTGCTCGCCCACCGATGCATCGCTCGGCCTGCGCGTGGAGCACGTGAAGGACTTCCAGCACGTGCACGGGCGCCGCATGGTCTTTGACGCCATCTACGGCGTCTTTTGGCTGCTGCGTGGCCCCTACTTGGCGGCGGTCACGCAGTCGAAGCTGGTGGCGAGAGGCGTCGAGGACGCGGAGATCCGCGTGGTGCAGAAGCTCGAGCTGCTGCTCATTCCCACGCAGCACCTGCCCGTGCTCACGCCGCTGCAAGAGCAGGACGAGCGCACGTTCATTGACATGCTCACGGGCGACATTGAGGCTCAGCAGCTGCATTTTTCTAGGGACTGTGACCTGACGCACACGTTGCAACGTACGACGCGTCTTTTTTGCGCGTGGAAAGAGATACTGTGAGAATCGTTGGACGCCTTACAAGACTGACGACGTGTTTGTTTGTTTGTGTTTCTGGTGGAATGTGCTGCAATGGGCCTTTGCTTTTGCTGGTGCAGGCGTCGCATCGTTCGATGGCAAGCGCCGCACGATTGCTGAGCGTGCAGACGAGCGGTTCTTTTGGAACAAGGCGCTGTGCTCGGCGTTCATGGGTACGACGAGCAGCGTGGCTGCAGTCACAAATGTGTCCGTATGGCTGTTGTCGCCTTGGTATGTCTTGACTGACCTTGTGGTGCTGCTGCTGTGCGTGCAGAGCAAAAGCTGTTTGAGTGGGTGACTCCGATGATGCAGGCTCATGTAGAGCTGACGGAACGACTTACCGTGCGCGACAAGTCGTTTCGGATTCTGTACTTCTCGAGACGATCGTGCAAGCGGCAGGGAATGCGCTTCACGATGCGTGGAATCGATGATGATGGCAATGTCGCCAACTTCGTCGAGACGGAGCAGATTTGTCTGTTTGAAGACGGTCGACAGACGTCGTTCGTGCAGATTCGTGGCTCGATTCCAGTGTTCTGGAGCTCCCCCGCCTCAATGAAGTATGCGCCCGAGGTCTACCAGGCAATCGACAAGGACCGAGACGTCGCCGCCTTCCAGAAACACGCGTACGAGCTCATGTCGCTTTATGGCCGAGTGCTGTTTGTTAATCTCATTGACAAGAAGAAGGAACAGCTCAAGCTCGGCGAAGCCATGGCAAAGACCGTTGCTGACGCTGCGACGAAAGACTCGCACATTCTTGCGGCCGTGCGACTCGTGTGGTTCGACTTCCACCACGAGTGCCGTAACATGAAATGGAGCAAGCTCGAGAAACTAGTCAAGCAAGTCGACGACGACTTTTTGGATCACGGGTAAGTCAGTCCACCATGTAGACGACATGGTTCGATACGCAGTGTGTCGGACGTGCCGTTTTTGATCGAAAGCTCAACCATGTTGTTGCTGTAGATTCTTTTGCAAGGGCGCAGATGGCGTCGTGGTGCACAAACAGTCTGGCGTGGTGCGCACGAATTGCATGGACAATCTGGATCGCACGAATGTCGTGCAGGTGAGACGTCACTTCGTTGTTGTCTCTTGACCAGCTTCTTCAGTGTCTTGTTGACTTTTGTTGCTAACTGCTGCCTTTGGCTACCAAGTCGCTCTTCGGACGACGTAGTTTGATGCTCCAGCTGAATGAGACCGAAGCGCTGCAAGGAAACGTGCTCAACTCGCCGTTTGAGGAGTTCGAGTGCACGTTCAAGCGCGTGTGGGGTAACAACGCCGACGCAATCAGTCTGTTGTACGCCGGCACGAGTGCACTCAAGACGGACTTTACACGCACCGGCACACGCACCAAGAAGGGGGCGCTTCTGGATGGCTACAACTCGTGCATGCGCTACATCAAGAACAATTTCATGGACGGCTACCGACAAGACGTCTTGGATCTGCTGCTGGGACGCTACGTGGCCTCGCGCAGCAGACCAACGCCGTTTGGGGTCCAGGGCGAGAGCCTGGAGTCGGCGTTGACCAAGCTGCTGGGAGTCGTAGCTGTCTTCTTCCTTGTCGAGACGTACCGGTCCAGGGGCCAGAGCTACGCGTTCGAGCGGCTCATCCGTTCCGTGTTGCTCACGCTGCTCATCTGCGCGGGCGTGTTCAGTGTGCTGGTCAAGAAGGGCAACTCGCTGGGCAAGAAGCTCGTGCGGCTGCCGAGTTTGTGCCCCCAGGAGGGCTGCATGACTACGTGGAAGCGCTAGATCGGAGCCACGTGAGACAAGTCCGCGAACGAGATGCTGTATTGATGACGACGCGGGGAAAACAGCCGAGCTGCTGCCCGTGAACTAGACCTATTGTTGACAATAACTTTACTGCGTTCTATTTTTACTTGGCTACATTTAGATGTGTTGCTTCATTCCGTTGCCTATTTAACCGTAACGTGTTCGAAAAAGCTGATCCAAGACGAATCTGGCTGCCACCCGGGGGTATAAAAAAGGCTCGACAAACAAAGCCGTTTAATTTGTCATTTAACACACCCACAGCATCAGCGCATCCAAACAAATCGATTACAGCGACAGAGACTGTCAGTTTCTGGTAACGGGCGAATCTGGTGGCACAACTACTGCGATTGTCACGCACGCTCCAGTGTCTGTAATGACGCGCCAGGCATTGTACCACACGAGAGACCTGGAAACGACTGTTGCAGTTAGTTCTTCGGCCTTAGTGAGCCGCATGCGTCATCGACGGACATTGCAGTTGAAGTAGCGGCGACTGGCATTTTGCCCCGTCGTCGCGTCTATCTTGACCATAGTGTAATCGAGTCAATCGACTGCAACGGTATGTGGAGAGACAGGTCAACGTCTGCACATTCGGCGTATTTTCGTCCGAAATCGCTAAAAACTGCTGCGCGCCCGTGTGAGTACTCCGTCGACCCCGACCCCTTTTCGACGTCGTCGTGAGCAACGCAATATGCCAAGCGCCGTTTCGCTGGAATGATTTGCAGCCAATGATAGTCGCTCATTGTTCGTACGAATACCCTTGCAATAATGATGGCAGGCACGTCAGCGAGTGATACATTGTGCCTTGCATAGCTAAATAGTTCGTAGTAATCGGTGCAGCTGTAGGTATCCAGACTTGCAGGTCTCGACAGGCTACAAAAGTGTCGCTTCTGTAGCTGGGCGGCTCGTTCCGTCGGGTCTCAACTGCATCAATGGCTCACTTTGCATTTTACCTGCAGCTCCACAACCACTTCAACCACTTCAGGCCATCCATCCGCTCGCAATGTTGGCCCGTACTTCGTGCCGACTTTCAAAGACTATGGCCCGCAACATCAGTAATTCCGCCGCCGCGCGCGTGCAGCACCACGTGCCAACGACCTCTTCCTCGAGCGGGTCGAATGGACCCCAAGTCTCGCAGACGGAGAAGGCGTGGTGCGACGTGTACGGCGTCGACTACGAGAAGCAGATCCACGAGGCGCTGCAAGAGACGCCGGCAGTGCCCGAGAGCTCGTCGAAAGCCGTGGACTATCCCACAGCGACGCCGAAGGGACTCGCCCAAGCGCAGCACAAAGTGGACATTTGGAACGTCGTTTTTGGTACCAGTGGCGCCACTTGAGCGAGTGCGCCAGCGGACGACCAATTGCAAACTGTGTCTCATTGTGACGCCGTCACGCGGCCGACGTAGCACTCGAAGAAGTAACAAAGTAGCAGCAGTCGCGTTGAGCGACTCGCCTCAACCCCATCTGCAGCACTCCTCGCCACACGGCCGTAATAATACAACTATCCACTTTTATTCGCTGTCTGCATCCGTCTCTAGCGTGAAGTCGTACACCTTCCACTGCCTCTTGAACGCCTGCGCGAGCTTCTCCTCCTCCGACTTCGTTACGACGCAGAACTTCCAATTAGCGCGACGCGGCATCTCCAGCAAACACGACGCGGCGTGCCGACCAAACTGTACGTAGTGCTTCCCGTCCACGTGGTGCAGCAAGTGTGTCGCCCCGCCCTGGCCGTTTGGCACTTCCGCGTACAGGAACGACTTGTCGTTGGCATGTTCACGCAGCAGCCGCAGAGGACCCGTCGACGCGCCACTGCCGGCGTCCGTGTCAACAGTAGGCATCGACAGTTCTTCGAACTTGACGCGATACTTTTCGCCTTCAGTGTCAAAGATACTACGCGCAGCGACAGCCTTTGCTTTCGGCACACCGATGACCTGCAAGTGACAGTGCGTGGCTCCCAGCGTGGCCACGTTGCGGTCAATCACCAGCAGCTCTTTGTCTTGCGAAGCAAAGTAGCGACGCAGCGCCTCTTTGAATCGCTCCATCTCACACCACGTGGCCTCGCTGAGGGTCAGCGTGGACCCTTCGTGTGCAATTGGAACGATCAGCACGTGGTCGGCGCATATAGCGCCCTTGGGCATGGCAAGGTAAGCTTCTTGACCGATACTTACGATCAAATGCCGCTCCAACGTCGGCGTCGAGAGACAAAACCAGCACTCGCTGCGCTCCGGCACCGCCGACCTATTGCTCCTTCGCTGTTGCGGTGTGTCGTGGCTTTGCAGTAGCCCACCCTTTCGTTGGCCTTTTGCCGCAAGCCTTTGGTCGTAGAAAAACTGCGCACCGCCTGCGCTTTTCGCGCAAAGCTGTTCGATCTGTTGTGCAGAGAGACCTCCCGTCGCGGCAGGATCGACTTTTCTTCTCTTTGCATCAGGTTCCCGAGTCCATGAGGTCGCTTCGTCGACCAATGCGTGGAGGTAGGGGTTTTGCGTAGTGCCAGCCGGAATGTCCACGTGCTGGCCCTCTTCTGTGCTCTGGTGGGCGAACGGCACGACCTGCAGCGCGTGCAGATACTTGCGGGTCTTGTCTTTGGTTGTGTTCACGCCACTGAGACCAATGAGTCGCGTTATTCGCTTGCGGCCGGTCCCGACCACTTCACTCACATACGGTAGACGCTGGTAGAAGACGTCCCCGCGACTGCCATCTCCTCCGCGACTCGTGATGTGATACTTTGGATGCACGTGCCGCACAATCTCTCGAAGTGCTACACTTCCCCGCATCGCTTGTACGCCATGAGGCAGCTGCTGCTCGGGCAGCAAAAGCTGGAAGCTCGTCGGGTACTCCGCTGTGATCAAAAAGTCCACATCCCTCTGGCCCTCTCCATCATCAACAAGAAGCTGCTGCACCAGTCCACCGATCTGCAGCAACGCGGCAAAAACCATGGGCAACAACACTTAATATATCGTGACAAGTTGTCTGTGAACGACGCACGTACCGACGCCTTCGAATACGTCAACAGCGTTCCTTTCTCCTGCTCTTGACTGGCGGCTTCTGTACCCGAGACATAGACCACCTTCATCCCTGCAATCTAAACAGCATAATGTGGATGCACAGCAATCAGATAGTCAGCAAACCACAGCGGCACTGCTCGCAACCGATCCGCATGTCCATCAACAGGAGCACAAGAAACCCGATCGACTACAGCGCACGTACCGTAGCAACGCCAGCCCCAGCAAGGCAGAAAAAGCCCTCACCGACCTCCAGAGGACACGACGGCTGCTCTGCTGCACTCACTGTGTCAAAGAGCTTCGTCTGGACGGCATCGTCTGCCCACGACCGCGCGCTCTCGTGCGCTGGCAGGAAATACGTGGGCAGCGGCACGTGTTTGCTGCCCCCTGTCACGTAGTCGGCCGGCAGAGGAAAGCAGCAGCTCACGCACAGTAACGCCTCGAACGGGTTGTCCTTTGCCGCGGCATTCAGCTTGCGCACGCGCTCGAAGAGCAGCTCCCAATGGCCCTGCACGGCGCCGCAGAGCAAGAGTTTGGGCATCTTTTGTGGTCGATGAGACGACGTACAGACCCATTGCAGACGTTGTGTGCGGCACACCAATGTGCACCTTACGTGCAGTTGAGACGACTGGTCGCCAGAGCACGTGAAAAGCCACACACACACACACACAGATGTCGATGTGCATGTGGTCATTGTAGCGCGAACGAGCGGCTGAAGGTGACTGTGTCGATGCTGTGAAGAAGAGTGATAGCTCGTGACTTGGTGGACACTGTGCAGCTCATTGTCCTAGTGGACTGCTGCTGGAGTTTGGAATGGAACTGAGCGCTTGGGGAGCTACAAAGTGGTGACGACTGTGGTCGCTGCTGCACGCAGCCAGACCAGACCGTAGTGAAGCTGCTGACCCAAAGACGGGTCAAAGTCGGTGTTCCAACTCCTGCTAGTCCCTCATACTGTCTTATCCTTCTTGGACAATGGCGGCGTCTGCAGTCGAGCGTGACAGCTACAGCAGGCGAAAAGAGGAATCGCAATGCAGCTGCAAACATCGAAGTGGTTGCAAGTGCACAAAGGCGGTGCGAACGCAGTGCGTTCAGCCAGCTGCTCGTGTTGTTGCACCACGTTCTTTGCATTCATCTGGTCGACGTCTCTTTTGCTGCTTGTGACATGAGCGAACGTAATCAGGCAATCTACTGCAATGTCAGGCCCCTGCGCCCGTAGCACTCTCCTGACCATGTAGCCATTCAAACGCTGCAGCACAGAGCCGCACAGGTGGTGGTAGCAAGGACTCATGATAGCGATGAGACAGCTCTCGCAGAAAGTATCCAGAAGCACGTGGAGGGTCTTGGCGAAAGGGTCAGCAGCCGACAAACTGAAAGACTCGGAGCTTCGGTTCATTCGCCTTTGCTGCCACTTTTCTCGTCCAAGATTCGTCCACCCTCGCTCGCATAGCGTAGCAGGCTAAGCTTTCGCCTCAACATGACGACCTTCGGCTGGACCGCTGACGTACGTCTGCCTGTTTGCTGATGACGCGTCCATGGATTGTAACGGCCTTGTGGGTGATGCCTTGCAAGGTCCTGTACACGACTGTCAGCGGGTTCGGCTTCTGTGGTCGATGCTTCACCCTCGTGCTCACCCTGACGCTTTTTTTCGTCGTCGTAGCGTTTCCCAGTGAGTAATTTGTCGCGTCGTAGATCAGGTGAATGCTGCAGTCGCACCGACTGATTCCGTTGCGATTCGATAGTGCTCTGTTGCCTTCGCGTGGACCGCTTCATCTCAATCTCATGGACGCAGGTATTCACTCCGTTATGGATCCTGGACGCTCTCTACTACGGGAGTGCGCTCTTCTCGCTCGTCTTTTCAACCGGCGAGTTGTCCTCGTTTCGCAAGAAGTTGCTGCTGCTATGGGCACAAGCATTGCTCGCAATGAAGCTGGACGGCGTCATCCACTGGAGTCTCGCAGCAGCGCTATCTCCGTGCTTTTTGTATGCGTTCCTCGACGTGCTGAAGACTGTGGCTGGTGGTATGCAAACGCACCAGAGACTCGTGGCCAACGGTAGTATTGATGCTGAGAGTTCCCAGACACGGGGTGCTGAACCAGAACGTCAGCTGCTCGTGAAGGCCGTTGTGCTCAGGACGGGGGCCACACTGCTGTTCATGGCTCAGGCTTCGTTGGTCGATATGAAGGTCAATGGGAGGCTGCGGGGGACTCGTTGGTGGCAGGTCATGGCTCCTGTGTGGATCTTCGTCGCATACCGTTTCTGCTGCCTCGTCGCGAAGTACAGAAATGCCGCGTCGACAGACGAACTGACGGACGCAGTGCTCGCTGCAGGTGTCAGCTTTATGCTGGCTGCACCGCTTTTTCTCCTTGCAGAACGCTTGGATGGCAAGACGATGTCCAGTTTCGTCATTGTGATGCCGTGGATGTTTTTGGTACGTTGTAGACCTCGTAGATCTATTGTTTCGACCCGTGTGCTCACTCCCATGCGCATGCGCGTCGTATTCGATGCGAAGATGGCGGCGTCGTTCTTGTTTCTGTTCTGTGCAATGTCCCTGGCGGGATCCGAAAGACTTGTTCGTAATGGCGTTCAGCCGACGAATCGTCACGCCCAGAGCAGCAATCGGTACGGTTCCTTTGCCACGAGCTAATGCCCTGTCAGCTACAACGATAGTCGCCTGGAGAGTTCCGGAACGAACGAGGAATGGCCATGCGCTCTGGTCCTTTCAGTGACGGAAATCGTGTTCAAACTTCACTTGCTCGAGACACCCGTTTTTCGTCAGCTATCAAACGCTACATCACACTCGAGTTCCTTCCCCAGCTTTTGTCCCCTTCGTCGCTCACAGCGGCAGGAAAAACACAGAATGCAGCGCGGCAGCACTTTGGTTAGCCTCGCACATCTGCGCGAGATCCCGCTCGACTTGCTGAGCTTGTTCAAACCTCTTTGCCGCACCAGCTTCACGATTCTCCCAATTCGCCAGCAGGTCGCCGTAGGCACGCAACACGCGAGAAAACTCGACGCGGTCGGTCGAGGAAAGATTGTTCTCGCGCTCGAATGACTCGACGACAGTAACGAACAGACCCTCGCTCGTCACCGCTTGGCCCATGGCATGACAAGCTCGCGCGATCTGGCCGAGCACACGGGTCATCGCAAGCGCGCTGCCTCCAGTGCCATTTTGCTCCGCCTGTAGCGTGCTCATGGCCTTGCCGAGCCACTCCATGGCCTCTTCAGGCTTGTTCTGGCGCAGCAGCAGCTCGCCCAGATTGGTCTCGATCCAAGCTCCGAATGGCGCGTTGGGTCCAGACGCCAGCAACGCGTCCTTGTCCTCCTCAGCTGCTGTTTTCTCCACCCACGCCAGCGCTTCCTTGTACAGCACCTCGGCCTGTTTCAAACTCAGCAACTGGGCGTCATTCGGCGGCACCTTGGAATCGGCATCAGCATATTTGGGCAGCGCGCGCGTGCTGGCCAGTGACAGTGACGCGTACTGCGCGAGCAAGTACGGGATGTCGCGTCCCAGCTGCACTTCGCTCGCCTTCAGGTTGCTCGCTTCTTCGTGCTTCAGCACAACGTCCTTCTTCTCTCGCAGGGTCTCCACGGCCTGCACAAACAGCGGGTCGTCCACGGCTTTCGCCAACTGCTCAGCTCCCCCACTGAGTTCCTTCCCAATCAACTCGTACATCGTCCACTTGAGCGGCACTGTCGCGTCCTTGGGCGACAGCTTCACAAACTCCGCTTTCGTGCACCACACTTCGGCCTCTTTGGGCATATTCGCACGCAACAGCAGCCGCAGCATACGCTCGTGCTCGGCCATGGGCCACTGCATCACGTCGCCCCGTTCTTGCATGACGTTGCGAGCGGCAGCCACGTCGCCCTTCATAAAGAGCGTTGCCACCAGGTGCCGTAGAGCCGCCTGCAAGTAGACACTCTGGAAGCCCATAGCCGAGCGACAGATCTCGACGGTGCGCTGCAGCTTCGGCAGCGCTTTGTCCGCCCGTTTGTGGTCGGGCAACAGCTTCGCGTCGTCTCCGCCTTGACCCAACAGGATCTGTGCTGCCTCTTGGAACTCCGGCAACGAGCTCAGCAGCTCCCGCTCTGCCCGTGTTTCTTCCGGCGCTAACGGGAGACTCCCAATGCTGACTGAGGCGTCCGCGAAGACGTGTCGTGGCGGAGCCGTTGAAGCGAAGCGGACGCTGTGCTTGGCACCGCACGAACGAGCAGATCCAGCGCTATCAAATGCACCTGTCGGCCAGAAGAGAGCGCGCGTTGAACGCCGAGGAGACTGCAGTGAACAGGAGAGAAGACGCATATCTTTCGACTCGTGCGATCCAAACAGTCAATCGGTTCGTGTAAAATGCGAACAAACATGTGGGCAGTGCTTTACCTGTCCAACGTGATAGCGGAAACAAGAGGTTCCACTCGCAAGCAGAAGACGCAATGTCCTACGGTGGTAGACCTTGATTTAATCAAAAGCGCTCATAGCTCCATGTTATTTCTCGTCGCATTTTGCACTCGCAGCTTCTTCTCGTGCGCGCTTCTTCTGCTTCCACAGTTGTGCAGCCTGCAGGAGCTTCATGTGCGACTGCGCCTGCTCATCATCTGGGAAGATGTAGTCCGTGTACTCTTCGAGACCCAATTCCGTCTGTGTAAAGTAAATAGTATCACGCAGCACAATGTGTTTGTTAGTGACTACCACACCCTTCATACAATGCAGCATATCGGCACGTACCCCGTCCTGTGCATACGCCATGCGCTGCTTCGTGACTTTGCGCGGTACCATCTCGCTGACCTTCGTAATCATCTCGGCGTCGCCGCCCTTCTTTTCCATCGCTAGCCACGTGTCGATGCACAAGACGCGGTCTTCCTTTAGCCCATCACTGCCTTGCTCCTTCATATACCGCAATGCACGCTCAAAGACATCGCGAGCGGCCTCCAGATTATCGCCTTGAGCCTCCTTGTCACCAAGAGCCGACGCCTCGAACTGTGCGAAACTAATCCAGACCTTTACGTGTTTCGTGCGCTCCAACAGTCGCTCATACAGTGCGCGCGTGTTGTCACGCTCACCATTTTCGATCTCAAAGTCAATGTAGTGCTTCCAAATCATCTCGGGCATGTCCAACACTGGCTGCGCGATGGCCAGTTCGTAGATTGCCCGCGCGCGCTCAAGCTCACCCACCTGCCGCTCCAGCATGGCGTACTTTTGCCACGTTTCACAGTTTTGCGGATCAAACTCGAGAAAGCGCATGTAAATCTTGCGGCAGCGGTCAATTTTGCCCATCATGAGCTCCAACTCAATGTAGCTAGTAAAGAGCTTCTTCTTTGGGCAGCGACCTAACGCTTCTCCAAGCGTCAAACGTGCAGCTTGGACGTCACGCTGTCGGATGAGGAACTTGGCGTAGAGAATCCAAATCTTGGCAAACGTAAACTTCTCGTGCGCAATCAGTTTCAAGCACGTCTGGTACACCTGTTTACAGCGCTCGGACGAGGTACCGCTGTCGTCATTGTCGCCCGCCAGCAGCTCTTCAAACAACGCATACTTGATCCAGAGATAGACATACCGGCGCCAGTACTTCTTTTCTGCAATTGGTGGTACATTCGCGATCGCGCGCTCATACACGTCACGCACAGTACCAAACGACTGCGAATCTACCGCCTCATGCTCCTCAAGCTTAATGTACTCGAGCCACGAGTCATAGTCCAATGCATTCGCCGACACTTGCTGCTCGTACACAACGCGTCGCTTGGCAATCACCACTTGCTCGATCCTCTCCTTGTCGCCATGTTGTTTCTCAAACGTGATAAACGCGCGATAAAGTGCCGGCGCCTCTTCTTTTGGCAACGTGTCGAGTGCGTACTTGAACACTGCACGCGCCCGTTCGAGCTCGCGACATCGCTCTTCAAAGCGAGCGAACGCCAAATACATCCGCTCCGTCGTTTCGTCCCGACGGAGCTCCTCGAGCGCTCGCTCGTACACTGTCCTCGCCAGTGCCAGCTGCTTCTGCGACTGTTCTTCCCACTTGGCATACTTCAAGTACGCTTTCTCGCCAGGATGACACGCCACATAGCGTTCGTACAGCGCCCGCGCGCGTCCAATGTCCTGGACCCGCATCTCGAGCTTAATGTACGAGTACCACGCCTGTTCGTCCGGCTGCCACGCCATCCAGCGCTCAAACACGCGCCGCGCCGCTGGCACGTTGCCCAGCATCTCCTCCATGAACGCGTACTTGTACCACAATTGCGGTACACGCGGCAACAGCGTCACCGCGCGGTCCCAGACGTTCCGCGCGTGGTTGACGCACTTGTGCCGCATCTCCATCTCGGCGTACTTAAGCCAAAGCGTCGTGGCCTTGTAGTCCACGTCCAGCGCGCGCTCAAACACGCTGCGGGCCCGCGCGAACTCGTGCTGACTTTCTTCCCATGTCGCATACTTCACCCACGTCCCAATGTGGTGGCGCTGGCGGCGCAACTCGTCTTCGAACGCTTTGCGCTTCCCCATGCGGTACTCGGCGAGCTCTGCGGCATCGGCGATGCGACGACGCGGGGGCGGGGCGACCTCTTCTTTGCGCTGGTTGGCCTCCAGCAGAATCTGCTCGGCCGTGATCTGGATGGGCGCCGGCGCGCGGTTCTTCACGACGCTCTTCTTCATCATGACCGGCGATGGGGCAATACGACGGCGACGAACTGCGAGCGCGTCCGATGGTGTGGTGGTGGAGGCGCACTTAAGAGTGTCTGCTGCGCCCGTCACGAACTTAGCGTGTTTGGACCTGCGGCAATCATTTCGATGCAAAAAGATGCGCGAGGTTTTTCTTCGCGTGCGAAAACTAGATCAGGCGACACCCATATTGTGTCGCGTAATGTGCAATTGTGGTGCCACATCGAGCTACGGTATGACACTGCGAGCGCGCGACGACCAGTTCGTTGTATCGCTCTTTGTTTTTTTCGCTGCGTCCAAAACATTTTGTATAGGGTATCCCTCGCTAGCCCAGATTGTCGTTATGCTTGCAGGACCGACAGTGTCGTAGCAGATGACCGCCATTGTTCCAACAAGATAGCGTATCGCTAGCACACAATTGTGTTGTATCTTGTAGTATGTATGACGTAGCGTGGCGTGTAAATCGCGAATCGAGGAAGATATCGATTTGCTAGCAACTTGTCAATGAATGAGCGTTGCACCGCAAGGACTGTCACGTACCAGTCCGTGCGTAGAAGGACCGTGCGGCACACCTTACAACCGCGACGGTTTCGCTAAGCCACGCACGGACTATTTTTTTTGCGGCTGTTTCGGCTATTTAAACCTAAGTGCTGTCTGTTTTGCAGCTGTGTAAGTCTATTTCGTGCAATGCTAACTTTGAGTAACAGTGACGATGAATAGTGTACTATTTGAAAAAGCAACCAAAATACGAATTAATTACATTTGCGATCCTAAAATAATGGTCTTGGTAGAATAAATTGCAGCTTTCTGCATTATTTTAGTGGTCTGAAGTTACAACATTATGATACCCTAACAATACAAAGCGGAGTGTTATATTTATTCTTCATATATAATCAATAAACCATAAAGAAGGGTTTCGAAATTGTGTGGTTTTTTATCGCTAGGTCCCTCGACCATTTCTTATCATCAATCTTTAGTACATTGTGCAATATGCCAATAATTGTGATCAACTTTGTGCTCATTGTTGGACTCTGAATGTTGACTTCAGTGTCAATAATGTCAGACTTCAATATCAGTAATTTCGATTCTTCTGACCAGCTACATTGTGCAGATTCCCTGAGTGTACCTTACTGACCACATTCGACTCTTCAACAATTGTTCGACAGCGACATGAGACACTCCGTGAACTTGACGATGACTGCTACAACTCATTTAAAGGTAAATCGAGCGTCTCCTGATCATAATATAGTATGTTTATAAGCAGAGAAATAATTGTAGGCGACCACCGAGCATTCGGAGAGGTGGGTAAACAATCACTGCTTTACATACAATACGATCAAACCAGAAACAGAGCTCAAATTTATCCATTCGTCAAGCTGATACATCACGATACCCTCAATGCAAATTTGCGAATTTTGATCGCACTTACCTGTGCGTCATATTGTAAGGATATCACATGAAAGAGAAGAAATATAAATTCTCCGAGTATAATGTGTTATATATATATGTACGATTTTTTTGAACATGGTGCGTCTTTCTGTTAAGTACAAGAGTATCAATATATATAAATTATATCCGTAAAAGACACACCGAACCCGTTCGAACTGTCCCTATAGACATATGATGGTAAAGTTGCATGTTATACGTAAGAATCAAAACGTTCTTCAACATAAGTAAGTGAAACCTGGATCTGAGAGAGTGTTAAGTGGAACTTCATCGTAAGTGTCGGCATGACAAGCACCTTTTATTCGTAATATTGCGAGTAGGGTTAGCAAGCTTATGTCTCTTTCTGATCATCTATCAAGCCTACCTTAAGCGATCGACCGAGGTGGCGTCAAACTTGACATAACAATTTACTAAATAATTATAAGTGAGATCGACTATACCAAGTATCGCTATAGCCAGACTTATCAACCAAGTACAATTATTCAAGCGGTATATGTCAAAAGTGTAAGCGTTATCAAAAAAGACGAAGGGTGTGATCAGTTGTCAACAAAGCGCTTAAATTTTAACTATACCATGTAAATGATTAATGGCATCGAATTTGTCAAATGCTAAGCGAATCTATTAAGATCCTTAGTTCCCAAATTCTATTGCTACTCGAAGCCTTCCGGGCAATTTCTGGATAAACGATTAGTAACCGCCACATTGCCTGTTACTAATGGTAGTGAAGTCGATATAACGTGTATGAGGATGGTCGATCGATTGTATATTTTGGATTCAGGTAGTTTGATCGGCTGATAAGAAGCGTCAGTACGACCAAATAGTGAGTGAGGGTTTTTCTAAGGCGAAGACGAACTAATCACAAATGCTAATCGAGATCGATTGTTTACAAGTGCGGATCGTGACTAGTCCTCATAAATGATCGATCTTAGATGTACAAGGACGACACACGGCATAAGCCGTGATAAGATCACATATGCTCATTCATAGGCGTTAGGTTTTATCTGATGTATATAGGACACAATTAATTTGCTTCCTGGTAAACATGTTGAAGTCACTTCCTGATGAAATTGTGTCTACCCGACGTCAAGGAGGTCTACATTCGATAATCAAGCAGCATACCAAAACATTTTGCCAAGGGATAGGCTACTCTTAAGACAAATTAAACTGCTATCTGATTCAGCTGCAGCGATCACGAAAAGGTCCAAGATTAAGAGACGGCTCGACTGATCAGAAGGACAAGCGAACAAGTATGCACACAGTAGACAAAGATGGTCTCATATACACAGGGGTGACTCATACCCGGTACTGATATAAGAACCAACCCGATCAAGTTAAGATTTCCGCTCAATGTACCCCAAAAGTCAATCTCAACTTCAACAAGTTTCAGCATCGACTTGGGCTTACCGATAGAAATGTAACCAGCCCTGTCGACTGGTACACATCATAAGCGAGGACGTTTTGATATGTTCCTATTTTGGAGTTCTTTGAGCATCGCGAGTCCCTTTACCAATTGGTCGAAACTGGTCGAAAGAAGGGTAAGGAAATTGACGGATATCTGAAAAAGACGAGTAGCCAAAATGGTTTCGGTATGCATGTAGCTGCAACCACATGCATAAAAATCTCAGTCGGAAAAGTGCAAAGTGCAAGACAAGTCGTATGTAGCCAGAAAGAGATAAGCCAAGTCATATTTTAATCATTTTGAGCCAAGGCATATACATCTAGTTTTACCAGTAACACAAAACTAGCTATAATTCCAACGCTATAGAGATTGTAAACAAAGGCTTAATGAATGAAGACGGAGTGATTCGCCTTACGGGCACCACCGGAGTGTTGGGGTCATGTGTTAAATCGTCTAGCGATTTGGGACAGAAGGACCGATCGTGCTCAGGATAAGTGCAATCCAGCAAGTGGTTGGTGGAAACGGCCTCATCAGTCTGGTTGCGCCAGTTAATCGGTCGAAGATATTTAAAAAAATATACTTTTGTTCCTCGGTATAAGGACGGTGAAAGAGTACTGACGAGAAGTATTCTACGCCTACACGATCACTATAGCGATCAGGACCAAGGGTGCGATCTCAATCTGGTATGTGTGTACCACACTAAGCGATCGCGATCAGGTAGATGTGTGCCACGCGACGCAATCACGATCTGGATAGAGATCGCGATCAGGAACGCGATCGCGATCAAGTGGGTGGTTACCACTACACGTGGTTCCGATCTAGATAAAGGTCGCGATCACGATAAATATCTCTATCGGTACGCGATAACGATCAGGTAGGGGATCACTACACCACGCAATTCGCAACCCGCGAGTAGAAGAGTACATGAAGCGGGCCACGTCGTGAAAGGTGACGTCAGCAGATCCGAAGTTACCGGTAAGTATAGTGGTATGGCTTGGGTGATCAGATAAACACCAAAAAGAGTTTTATTTGCGTTCGGTACACGTGTCGACTTACCTTCCGGGTTGAATCACTGATCAATCGACGTCATGAGAACTCGCATGATTAATCAAGTGATATCCTTAAAATTGTTTGCTCAGGGATCAAAGACATTTAATACAAACCTCCGACTGCGATCTGAACACCGTAGAGGACAAGGTAAAAGATCGCGATACGGCACAATTGTTTAAAAGGGTAATCATATCAAATATCTACATATTGGATTATGCTATCTCATTGAGATCATATTGACTCACATCGATCACCCCGCAAGTGTATCCGTGGTCGTGTGACAAATCCCATACGACCACACGACCACCCCAACCCACCACAAACAAGACCTACATATATCGACACAAGTCCACCTAGAAGTTTTTCGACACGAATCCACGTAGAAGAGTTTAGACCGCCGTAAAAATGAAGGGTACAAAAGGTGAAGAAAGAAGCGTAAAACGTGGAAACGGAGTACCTCCTCTGAAACTCGGTGGTCTGAAGCCATTGGAAAGTCAGGGTATTAAGAACTTTGTCATCGCCACTCCACTACAATCACATCATCAATTTTGTGGGACATACTCCACCCCACATTCGCGATGTACAAAATGGGGGCAGATTACGTGCGTGGCGTGAAGTTTTCCCTTTTGCGACATTTTCATGGTATGAGAAACGATCGTGGTCTTTGAAAGGACCACGAAGTGATACGAGGTATAATGGAGACACTGTTCGCCTAATAATTGGTAAGCCATTTCACCGTAACAGTATAAGGATGTGCGCTTCCGAAATTACTCGCACCTCTGTAATAAATCTTTTTCATCTGACATATAGTAAGTTGAAATACAAGCTAATCATGCGGAATGTGACTTAGCATACATTGCGCGCATCTAGCGGCAATTCGTAGTGGATTCGGTTATTAATGGCTCAACTAATCCTGAATGAAGCAAAGCCGATAACTACTTTTAAGGCATAATTCCATCAATATTGACTTGAAGGATAGAAATTGTTGAATATTGTCGATAAAGCTAGTATACGCATCTATACAATTCGTGCTATTGACATGCAATAGGTTTACCCCATTAAAACTTCCGTCAGATCGACGGGTCGCGTCAGGGGCCACCCC